GGATAGTCATTGTTAGTTGGGCTAGCCATACTGAGGTTATATTTCCAATGTAATAATAATAGTAATAATAATAACTAGAAAGGGAAAGTTCGTGAATGAACTTTAAGGTAGCTTGAAAAAAACCCAGCTAATTGCGGTAAAATGTTAAAATAGTGGAAGACTGTTGATGGTTGTAATGTGTGTCTGATTGTATATGCATGTTTATCTATCTGTCTGCCCTGCGACAGACTGGCGACCTGTCCAGGGTGTATCCTGCCTTCCGCCCAATGACAGCTGGGATAGGCTCCAGCACCCCACCACGACCCAGAAGGATAAGTGGTTTAGAAGATGTATGTACTTATGTATGTATGTTGATGGTTGTTAAAATGTTGCTAAGTGGATGCTGCAGTATCCAAGGTGGATGGTAATGCGTTGCTAGGTGCTTCCATAAATGAAGATCCACCTTAAATTCTGTGTCATCTTAAATTCAGTGCTATATTAATTGAAGTTCCACCTTAAATTCAGCGCCACCTTAAATGAAGTTCCACCTTAAATTCTGTGACATCTTAATTTTAGTGGTACCTTAAAGAGAGTTCCACCTTAAATTCTGTGCCTTGTAGCAGGTTTTGCAATTTTAATGTTATTATTGCTAGAACACAGGACCCCCCAAATTTGTTGTGCACTCTGGTTTTGTTCGGCTGTAGGCCCTACCCTTTGGAGGCAGAGCCAGATTGCTGATAGGTTCTCATCACCTAACGGTTAATTAGCTATTCATTGTTTCCAACTCTGATTGGTTGTGCATAATTTTAGGAACGCCTTCCCCAGAACCACTGCCTTCTTTGTTTGTTAGTTTTAAACAAAGAAAAATAAACATTATTCTTATAACATCAAATCGGTTTAAATTTCAAAATCAAGGAACGAACAACTAGGATATTCAGGTATGTTTATAAGAGAGAGTTTAATCCTTGTTACCTGATACACAACACATGTTAAAGAACATAGGTAATGTTTGCTTGTAATATCTGAATATGACCCAGTGCATGAAGAAATAAAATTGACAACGAAAGAAAAGGAACAAAAGAAAGAAAAGAAAAACACATTCAGGATGCATATTTGTCAATGGTCTAAACTCATTACAATTAAATGGTTGTCTCGGTCTGTTATCAAAGTAATACACTGCATATTTCTAGCACTTAATAGTAGAAAAAGATACAGGTTTTAGGTAATACACGTTACAATAAGACTAATAAAACAAGTAGTATTGCTTACAGATTATATAAATGTTGATAATCAAGCAGACAACGCAACAAGTTTTCTTGGGTTCTTTACAAGCACATGTCCTCACGGTGGTGGTGTGTTGTGTCTCATTCTCACCACTTGGGGGTGTTGTGGCTGCATATCTAAATTGGTAATAAAATCTAAAAAGGCTAACTTTGTTATAGATTCTCATAACAACCTCGTTCTTGGTGTCTCCAGACTTCTTGAAGTGAACCCTGTTGAATGGTGACAATTCTGTATTGGTGCAAACTTGAAACTTGATTTCTTGTAAATTACAAGTTTAGTTAAGAGTTTGGTGAGGCCTGAAGCTGGATTCCAGGCAGGGCTTTATAGCTGCCTGGCATGCCTTATGGAGCAAGGGGGGTTGATAACCTCCCACAGTGTCCAGACTCCCAAGGTAACGTCCTTTTAAGCTGTAAAACTTGTTGGCAACTTAATCCTGTTTCATGGCTTTTACCTCAGACTTTGTGGAGCCAAACCTTTCAGTTTGGGTAATGTGGAGAGTTCTTGTAAACAGGAGTGACTTTGTTTTAACCAGATGGTGATGTTCACTACAGCCTCCTCATATTCAAATTTAAATGTAGTTCCATCTTAAATTCAGTGCTGCTTTAAAGGCAGTTCCATCTTAAATTCATTATTTGTGCTGATACTGCTGAGCATTAGGCTGTAAGCGTGTGAGTCTGTGTCTACTGTGTGTGAGTGTCTGTGTGAGAGATTCCATTGTGACATCACTTGTGCCAGTTAATCTGAATGTCCCAAACATTCTAACCATTAATTTCCTATGGGAAAAAATATCGTCTTTGAATGATAATTTTATGAAAATCATATGTCGGATCGCTTAGAACAGCACACACACACTCTGTGGGTATAGGACCTACGAACCTGCAAAGTTTCGTGGTTCTAGCTTGAAAATTGTGGGAGGAGTAGAATTTATTTTTTGAGTATAGAATAATAATAAGAAGTAGATTACAAAGAACTGTAAGTTGGCTTTTTTCATCATCATCATCATCATCATCATCGTTAACCGCTTAGTCCAGATAGGGTCGCGGTAGCAGTTGGGAGAGCAGAGAATCCCAGATGACCCTGTCCCCCGCAACTTCCTCCAGCTCATTCCCGGGGACCCCAAGCTGCTCCCAGGCCAACTTGGAGATATAATCCCTCCAGCGGGTCCTAGGACGTCCCCGGGGTCTTATTCCGGTAGGCCGTGCCTGGTACACCCCCACCGGGAGGCGTCCAGGGGGCATCTGGATCAGATGCCCGAACCATCTCAGCTGGCTCCTCTCAATGCGGAGGAGTAGCGGCTCTACTCCGAGCTCCTCCCGGATGGCCGAGCTCCTCACCCTATCAAATAGAGTGTAGCCTGCCACCCTGCGAAGAAAGCTAATTTCCGCCGCTTGTATTCGCCATCTCATTCTTTCGGTCATTACCCACAGCTCATGACCATAGGTGAGGGTCAGGATGTAGACCGATCGGTAAACAGAGAGCTTCGCCTTATGGCTCAGCTCCCTCTTCACCACTACAGTCCGGTACAGCGACCGCATTACTGCTGCCGCCTGTCCCAGCCTGCGGTCGATCTCACGATCCCTCTTCCCATCACTCGTGAACAAGACCCCGAGATACTTAAACTCCTCCACCTGGGGCAAGTCCTTTCCCCTTACCTCGAGTGGGCATGCCATCCTTTTCCGGGCTAAGACCATGGACTCAGACTTGGAGGTGCTGATCCGCATACCAACTGCTTCACACTCAGCTGCAAACCGCTCCAGTGCGCGCTGGAGGCATCCATGTGATCCAGCCAAAAGAACAACATCATCTGCAAATAGCAGAGACGCCACCCTCCGGCCTCCACACATAATGCCCTCCTGACCCCGGCTACGCCTTGACACCCTGTCCATGAATATCACAAACAGGAGTGGAGACAGGGCACAACCCTGGCGGCGTCCAACGCTAACACTGAAAGAGTCCAACTTAATGCCGAGTATACGAACACAGCTCTCACTCCGGGCGTACAGAGATTGAATGGCCCGGAGTAGTAACCCCAGCACCCCATACTCCTGGAGGACCTCCCACAAGATATCTCGGGGAACATGGTTGTAAACCTTCTCCAAATCCACAAAACACATGTAGACTGGGTTGGCAAACTCCCATGCCCCCTCAACAATCCGTGAGAGGGTGAAAAGCTGGTCCATTGTTCCACGGCCAGGACGGAATCCGCATTGTTCCTCCTCAATCTGAGGTTCAACTATCGGTCAAAGTCTCCTTTCCAGCACCTTGGCATAGACTTTCCCAGGGAGGCTGAGCAGTGTGATACCCCGATAGTTGGCACACACCCTCCAGTCCCCTTTCTTGAAAACAGGGACCACCACCCCGGTCTGCCAGTCCAAGGGTACTGTTCCCGAGGTCCATGCACTATTGCAGAGGCATGTCAGCCACGACAGCCCCACAATATCCAGAGCCTTAAGCATCTCCGGACGAATCTCATCCACCCCCAGTGCCTTGCCACTGAAGAGCTTGCCAACTACCTCAGTGACCTCCACCATGGAAATGGAGCTTGACACGCCAGAGGCCTCTGGCCCTGACTCCCATGAGGGAGGCATGTCTCCCGGATTAAGGAGTTCCTCAAAGTGCTCTTTCCACCGACCGACAATATCCTCATTTGAAGTCAGAGTTTCTCCACCCCTGCTGAATACAGCTTGGGCACAGCCACCCCGACCGCTCCTGAGTCGCCGGACAGTTGTCCAGAACCTCCTCGAGGCTGACCGAAAGTCTTTTTCCATGGCTTCACCAAACTCCTCCCACGCCCTGGATTTTGCTTCTGCCACCGTTGCAGCTGCCACCTTTTTTGCCTGTCGGTACCTATCGGCTGAATCGGGAGTCCTTCTGGTCATCCAGTCCCTAAAGGCGTCTTTCTTCAGCTTGACGGCCTCCCTCACCACCGGTGTCCACCCGGGGGTTCTTGGGTTACCGCCAAGACAGGCACCAACAAGCTTTTGGCCACAGCTACGCCTGGCACAGAAGTCCAATAACAATTCACTATTTGGGTTTAGATAGGGCAGGCCGTTCTTCCCAATCACGCCTCTCCAGGTCTCCCAGTCATTACCAACATGAGCATTGAAGTCTCCCAGTAAGACTATGGAGTCTGTAGGCGGGGCCCTTTCCAGAACCCCGCCCACTTGCTCCAAGAAGGCTGAATACTCCGATCTGTTGTTTGGTGCATAAGCACACACAACAATCAGAGTTTTCCTTTCTGTGATTTTAATACGCATTGAGGCGACCCTCTCGTCCACCAGCCGGGGACTCGTGAGTATCCCCACACGGCTTTTTTCATGCCAACGTAATAATAATAATAATAATAATAATAATAATAATAATAATCATAACATAATTGTGTTTAGGGGATTCCTTCTGTGTGGACGTTTTGGAAATTGCTTGTGTGTGGTTGTGTCTGATGGACTGGTAAACTGTCCAGGGTGTATCCTACCTTCTGCCCAAAGACTGTTGGGATAAGCTCGAGCGACCCAGAAGGATGAGTGGTTTAGAAAATGTGTATGTGGACTGTATGGTCTAAAGAATATTTTGTATCGTAATAATGAGTTTTATTCTTTTAGTTTTATCTGGACTGTAAGTTCTAAGGGATGTTTTATAACAATGATCTGTTATTCTTAATTTTTGTTTTGATTCGGTATTAACTTGATGTATAAATGTGTTTGTTTGTTCTTCAGGATGCATCATGGAGGAAAGATCAGGATGAAACCAGGACTGAAGAAATGTAACACACACACACACACAAACACACACACACACACACACACACACACACACACACACACACTGATTAATATTCTCTAATCTGTGTGTGTGTGTGTGTGTGTGTGTGTGTGTGTGTGTACAGATGCTGTTAATCTCACTCTGGATCCAAACACAGTGAACAGAAATCTCTCTCTTGCTGAGAGGAACAGAAAGGTGGAGCATGTTTGGGAAAATCAGCGTTATCCAGATCATCCAGACAGATTTGAGTACTGGGAGCAGGTTCTGAGTGTGGAGAGTCTGACTGGACGCTGTTACTGGGAGGTTCAGTGGAGCGGAGATGGAGCTGATATATCAGTATCATACAGAGGAATCAGGAGGAAAGGACGCAGTACGGACTGTGTGTTTGGATTCAATAAACACTCCTGGAGTCTGAACTGCTCTAATAACAGTTACTCTGTCAGACACAATAATCAGGAAACTGTCCTACCTGCCCCCCCCTCCCCCTCTAACAGAGTAGGAGTGTATCTGGACTGGGGGTCCGGCACTCTGTCCTTCTACACCATCTCCCCTAACACACACACACTGACCCACCTACACACACTCACCACCACATTCACTGAACCGCTCTACGCTGGGTTTGGAGTTAATTATTATGACTCCTCAGTGAGTCTGTGTGAAATAGAATAACAAGGGAGAGAGAGACAGGTGGAGAGCAGGTTGTTGAAAAATGTATTTTCTATTTTTTTTCTAAAATGTGAGTGCAGGAAAAAATTACTAAACACAACAGAAATACACAGCCATGTGTTTATATAAGACACATTTCAGATCTATTGTTTCATGACAAAATATATTTCTACATTAAACTACATTCTGCAAAAATACATTTCTGACCATTTTCATACATTTTCACCAATATATTTGATAAATATACTTTACATATATTTCTATTACAAATCTGCATCCAGTCAGAAATATTGTGGCAGTTGCTTATAGTTAAAGATATATTTGAGCTAAAATACTGTGACAAACAGTAGTCAGAGCTGATAGTAGATATAAAGATATACATTACCTGATGGAGGATTGTGAAAATCTTGAGAGGCTGGGATGAGTGAGGACACCATGAGAAGGGTGTGGAAACACAGAGTTATCCTTTTCTTGTGAACATCAATCACTTAGCTTTCAAGCCAGTACACAAAATTAAATAGCACATTCACAGGAACTTTTCAGTCCTTTTATTTCTGCCTCAAGCCTCCATTGTTTCCTTCTCTCTGGGCTCTGCCACCTACTTAGAAAAGACATGACTATAGGCTGGCAGAAACAAAGCACAGGTGAATTTTATCAGCTACTCAGTCTGCTGGTTTGGCATGATTTTCTGTCATGTTTATTATTATTTATTACGACTTTCTGTCATTATTTATAAGGCAAGTTTAGTTGTATAGCACCTTTCATACACTGCTGTCAAGTACTTTACTGATGAGAAAATACAAAATAATTTAAAAAGTAAAGGAGAATAGAAAAATGTAAAGTGAAGAAGAATAAAAATTAATACATTCTAAAACATAAATAAAGCAATAGATTTTAACAGAGAAAAATCATTTAATTAAAAATCAAGCAAGAAAATTAAAAACTAAATAAGGATAATAAAGCAGAGAAGAGGACACGAGCTGGATGAGCTAACAGTGTTTAAACTGAGTTGAAAACTGCTCACATACTAATGTTTTAAACCTGGATTTAAAAGTCTCCAGTGTCTGGGCTCTCCTATTGCTCTGTGAACTGGTTCCATTTAAGAGCAATGTAGTAGCTAAATGCTGCTTCTCCATGTTTAGTCTTTACCTTTGGCAGGGCTAACTGACTAGTTATCTGAGAGTTCTGCTTGTTTCATATCGCTGCCACATATCAAATATGCTGGCCTTAGACCACTGAGCAATTTTTAGACCAGAAGTAATATTTTAAAGTAATGTATATTCTGTAACAGAACAGAATATACTGGCAGCTGCATTTTGAATCATCTAAAGGTGTTTGTCTTTTTTGGGAGTCCTGTTAAGAGACTATTACAGGGATCAATCCTGCTAGAAATAAAGTTGTTGGTGAGTTTCTCCAGGTCTGCTTTAGTCAGAACATCTCTGATCTTGTTGATGTTAAAAGTGATAAAATGCTGACAGTTCCTGAGAGACCAACCCAGTTCTCAAATCTATCTATGAGAATTTTATGGTCACTGGCATCAAAGGCAGTACTGCAATCAAGCAGTAGTAGAACAGATGTTTTTCCAGAGTCTGTAGTTAAAAGAGTATCATTAATAACCTTAATTAGAGTGTTTTCAGTCCTATGATTAGGCCAAAAACTTGACTGAAATTTGTCTAGACAGCTATTTAAGGACAGAAAGTTGCTTGAAGACAATATTCTCAATCATTTTTCCAATGAAAGGAAAATTTGAAATCAGTCTGTAATTGCTCAATAGAGTTGAATTCCAGATATTTTTTATGAGGCTTCACAACTGCAGTTTTTAATTTGTTAGGAAAACACCTGACAGGAGTTAGGTGTTTACTGTCTGAACTATGTCCGCTGCTATTGAGTGAACATGTTCTTTAAAAATGTGGTTGGTAACGTGTCAAGACCGCAAGTGGATAATTTGAGATTACTCCCTGTTTTGATTAAAAATTCATTATTGATAGATGTATGCAAACTCAGTACATCTCTCAATTGACACTAATTCAGGGTCCATATATGTAAGTGACTTAGTTTGTCAACCATGGTGAACAGTATGATGCTGTTGGTAATGTTGTTGATAATCCTGGAGAATAAATATATACTGATTTTGAATTTGATGCCAACAACACATTCCAAAAAAGTTGGGACGGGGCATGTTTACCACTGTGTTTCATCACCTCTTCTTTTAACAGCACTTGTTTGGGAACTGAGGAGACTGACTGCTGTAGTTTTGAAAGCAAAATGTTTTCCTATTTTTGCTTAACATAGGATTTCAGCTGTTCAACAGTGCAGGGTCTTCTTTGTTGGATTTTTCATTTTTAAAATGTGCCAAGTGTTTTCAGTGGTGACAGGTCTGGACTTCAGGCAGGCCAGTTTAGCATCCGGACTCTTTTAATACAGAGCCTTGCTGTTGTAATACGTGCAGAATGTGATTTGACATTGTCTTGCTGAAATAACCAAGGCCTTCCCTGAAAAAGATGTCATCTAGATGGTAGCATATCTATTGTTCAGCATTAATGGTGCCTTCACAGATGTGCACGTCACCCATACCATGTGCACTAATGCCCCCCCCCCGTACCATCATGAATACTGGCTTTTGAACTGTGTCCTGAAAACAAGCTGAGTGGACACAGTGTCCATGATTTCCAAAAACAATTTCAAATTTTGATTTGTCGGACCACAGGACACTTTTCCACTTCCCCTCAGTCCTTTTTAAATGACCTCAGGCCCAGAGAAGATGGCAGCATTCCTGGATCATGATTGTATATGCTTTCTTCTTTGCATTAAAGAGTCTTAATTAGCATTTGTGGATGCAGCAATGAACTGTTTTCATAGACAGTGTTTTTCAGAAGTTTCTCTGAGCCCACACAGTGATTTCCACTACAGAATCACGTTCGTTTTTAATACAGTGCCGTCTGAGGGCCCAAAGATCATGGCCAGCAAATACTGAATAATAACATCAAAAGATTCTCTGAATCTTTTAATCTTATGTACCTTAGACGATGAAAAGCAAAAGCTCTTTGCTATGTTTTGTTGAGAAATGTTATTCTTGAATTGTTGCGCTATTTGATCGTGCAGTCTTTCACAGATTGGTGAACCCCTCCTTATCTTTACTTCTGAAAGACTCAGCCTCTCTGAGTTGCTCATTTTATACACAGTCATGTTATTGACCTGTTGCCAATTAACCACCAAGTGTTTTTTTTAAGCATTACATAACTTTACCAGCCTTTTGTTGCCCCCGTCCCAATTTTTTGGAGCGTGTTGCTGGCATCAAATTCAAAATGGGCATATATTTTTCAAAAAACAATAACATTTCTCAGTTTCAACATCTGATATGTTGTCTTTGAAGCATTTTCAATTAAATATTGGCTTTAAATGATTTGCATATCATTGATTTTTGTTTTTATTTACATTTTTCACAGTGTCCAAACTTTTTGTTCTGTACTGAGAGAGATTACTGGCACACGAGGTCTGAACTGAAAACATGTACTGCTGACACCATCACTGTAGGAGCATGAACCTTTGTTCAGCAGCTTTTATGTAACCAGTTGTTTATTCCAAGGCAGAAGACCACTGATAAATGACTGCGCACTGAGCTTCCTGAGTGTGTTGAAGAGATTATTAAAGTCACTTTTTAATGCTTCATACTGCTGCTTCCTTGTGTCATTCTTGCCTACATGAACAATGATCCGCTTCACTGTTGTGTGTTTGGCCAGTAATGTAGGAAGCTTTTCATTCAGCTCGGAGACTGATGTTTGGCTTATATCAAACTATGAGTTTCTGTTTTTTTACGCCATCAACACAGTCATCGCCAAAAACAAGAGTGTCTGCTTTGTCCGCACACTGGGGCCCAGTGGATCTACCAGGGCGCTTTGACTGGCTGAGACTTCATGTTCTTTCTGCATTATGATCACTGCCTTTAGGAGACTCACTTGCTGTGGAACAAATCTGTTCTGCAAATGGAGTGACTGGGACTGATATTCTGCTCTGGCTTTGTGCCGTGGTTTCTGAGAAACAGCTTTGGCATTAGCATTAGCATGATGGTATATGCAAGTAGGACTGGAAGATGAGACTACAGAGCTGTATGGAAAAGTAACCTCATTACTTCAACATTACTCTGTACCAAATAATGTCACTATACTGGCAGATAGTTTCAAGCATTATTTTCTAAAACAAGCAAGATTATTTGCCAATACAGTGTGATAATTTCACTTATTATTGCTTAAGTATGTTTACTGTCACAAAGTAAATTCAATAATCTTATAATATTCTCAAAACAATCTCAAATGAGAAATATTAGATATATTAACTAGATTTAAGATGAGCTGACTTGCAAAGATCACTTTTTTGCAATGTAGATGGTGGTGGCGCTCAGGAGCCGAGATTCTCAAGTAATTTAAAAATGTGCATTCAGGGACTCCATTCCTGTCTTTCACATAGAGCCTCAGAATCACTAATTCTGCCCCTGCCTGTGTTCAAATCTTCTATTTTTTCAGTCATTTTTTAGCAAATATGACCTTTTACATGATTTACATGATCCCACAAAGACACTTTAGTGTTATATTATTACACACTGCTATCACTCAATGTAAAAATTACACACTTGTCTCCTGTCCAGCTATTGGTGTGACCGACATATTTCAGCACTTACTTCGGCTCTTTAAGAGGTCTATATTTAAGCCAAATAGCTCTTTGGACTATCCCATTGGTAATGCCTCCATGGAAACATTTTGCAGATTGCAGATTTTTAATTATATGCATAAATCAGATTGTGTTTCATTCAAATTTACTTTCTAAGAAGAAGCTTTGAAATAAGTATTGTTATTAAAACCTGCAGATAAAAGCAGATCTAGTGTGGTTCAAGAAATAATCAGGAAATAGAGGGACAGCTGAGTGATGCCAATTCATAAATGTTGTAAATGGACCTGATACATTTAATGACAACATAAATTGTGTTTAAAAAGGCTTTGACAGATGCAGTCATTGAGGAGGAT